CCTGTCCTGTTGCTCACAAGGCACATAGACTGGCACTTTTATATTCTCTCAGAAAGAGAAAAAGAAAACCTGTCTCCTTTCTCTCAAGTTAGAAAGAGAGGGAAGAGAGGTTGGGGTGGAGGAGAGGCAGTTTGCGATATCAGGGAGCTGAGTGTTTCTAAGAGAGACGCAAGGGAGGGAGCAAAGTCTCAGAGAGAGAGGGGCTGCTTGGAGAGTAGGGGCAGCCCTACTGTGAGGGGCCATCAGAGGAGTCAAGAGAGATCCTGGAGAAGCTTCTTTGACAAAACAGACAGGAGTAACCACCAGGGACCAGACTGGTTGATACCTGCTGACACAAGTAAGACTAAGACCTCATTTCTTCTGCCCTCTCTGCTGGGGCAATCAATAAACCTGGTGAAAGGGAAGGACTTGGCTGATTAAGGCAGAACAAGAGATTTAATCAGAAATGATCAATTGTTTCAAACTATTTGCAAATTAATATGTAATTCTTTTTTTTTTTTTTAAGATGTAATTCTTAGACAACTTCATTTGTGGAATAAAACTTATGCAGTCCCTGGTGCACAGTGGAAGATCAATTTATTACAACTATAATTCCTGCTATAAATATTTTATGTGGATGCTTAAAAAGTCAGTATTAACTGTTATTTACATAAGAGTAATACCCAGTTCAGGAGTGGTAAGAGCCCTACTGCTAGCAGGACTGACGTCTGAAATGCACTGTGAGTTTGTTTTAAAGTACATGTATATAGGAAAGGACCCAGACACTAAATGGTTAAAATAACTAAGGTTGTGAAAACTGAGTAAGAGAAGGCTGAGGAGAGAGATGATAGCTGTCCTCAGATATTTGAAAGGCTTATTGTGGAACACAGAATGTCCTTGTTCTGAATGGAAGTTGAAGGCATGAATGTTTGATTCAGTCAACAGAAAGAGGAAGTTTCTCATAGTTGAGGGCTCATCAATGTGAAGGGATTAAAACAGATGTTCAATATTCATCTTGTCTGGAATGCTGTCAGGAGAATTCCTGTATGTTGAGGAATATGGCCCTGACACTTTTCAGCTTTAGGAAAATATGAGATAGGGGGCAGGTGGAGACAGCTGATACTACCAAATTCCAGGAAATGTGCTGAGTGCTCTGTGTAAAGGGTCCACTGAACCTGCCCAACAGCTGAGTTAAACATTGTAAGTATTGTTATTCTCATTTTACAAGTCAGGCTTACATAGTTTACCTAGTAAATGACCAGAATTCACAGTGCTGTGAAACTGCAGGGTCAAGTTGAAAACCCAAGTCTGTTGCATTATAAAACCAAGAGCGTTCCATTATATACTCCATTTCCCTAATAGGCTCTTTCAAAGAAAAAGAACAAATCCTTAGTTTGAGGGCAGAACTTTTTTTTTTTTTTTTGAGACAGAGTCTCTCTATGTGCCCCTTGGTAGAGTGCCATGGCATCACAGCTTACAGCAACCTGAAACTCTTGGGCTTAAGCGATTCTCTTGCCTCAGCCTCCCAAGTAGCTGGGACTACAGGTCCCTGCAACAACGTCTGGCTATTTTTTTTTTTTTTTTTTGGTTGTAGTTATCATTGTTGTTTGGCAGGCCTGAACTGGATTCCAACCCACCAGCTCTGGTGTACGTGGCTGGCGCCCTAGTTGCTGAGCTACAGGTGCCAAGCCAAGGGCAGAACTTTTAAAATACACAGACGTTACTAACATACTGACCAATGACGTGTAGTGACCCATTGAAATACAGCATTTTAGCTGTGATTCATATCATTATACAGAAATATTAAGCAAAAAATATGAACATTATAATGTATAATAGCACATACACATAACTACTCTTCTGAGTTCTAGATGTAGAACTGTGTGGTTAATGGGATGGTTAATTGTACGCGTCAGCATGGGTTGGCCATGGTGATCGGATATTTGGTAAAACATTACTCTGGCTGTTTCTGTGAAGGTGATTTTTGGATGAGATTAACATTTTAACCAATAGACTTTGCATTATGTCCTCCAGATTCACCAATGTTGCCACAAATGACAGAATTTCCTTCTTCTTTAAGGCTGAATAGCAGTCCATTGTATATGCAGGGTGGCCATAAAATTACAGCTATCTAAACTGCACGTGAACTTTATATCCACCCTGTATATACTGTATTTTCTTTATTCATTCACACGTTGATGGACAGCAAGGAAAATACTACATACTGCATGATCTCACTTACATGTGGAGTCTAAAATACTCCAATTCATAGAGGTAGTGAGTAGGGGGAGGGTAGGAATGGGAAGATGGTGGTTAAAGGATACAGGTTCAGTGAATAGAAGCAATAAGCTTTTGAAACCTATTGCATAGCCTAGTGACTAGAGTTAATACTAATGCCTTGTATACTAGAAAGCTGCTGAGAGTAAAGTTCAAATGTTCTCACCCCTCCAATATGGACAAATATGTGAAGTGATGAATATGTTAATTAGCTTAATGCAATCATTCCACATTTTATTACATACATTAAAACATCACAGTGTACCCCACAAATACATACAATCATCATTTGTCACTTAAACATAAAAATAAATTTCAGAAATATCTTAATAAAAACTACTTTAAAAAAATCAGTTGACATTGTCTCAGCATCAGTAGCATACTGGTTGTGGCACCAGCCAAATACACTGAGGCTGGTGGGTTTAAACCCAGCCCAGGTCAACAATGACAACTGCAACAGAAAAATAGCCAGGCGTTGTGGTGGATGCCTGTAGTTCCAGCTACTTGGGAGGCTGAGGCAAGAGAATTGCTTAAGCCCAAGAGTTTGAGGTTGCTGTGAGCTGTGACGCCATAGCGCTCTACCGAGGGTGACAGCTTGAGACTCCATCTCAAAAAAAAAAAAATCAGTTGACATTAAATAGATTATTTTCCACAATGTGAGTGGGTTTCATTCAGTCAGTTGAAGGCCTTAACAGAACAAAGACTAACTTATCCCAAGCAAGAAGTGTGCTCCCTTTAGGCTCCGGTTACAATTCTTCCCTGAGTCTCCAGCCTGCCAGCCTACCCTGCAGGTTTTGAATTCATACCTCCACAAGTGCGTGACTTAATTTCTTAAAAATAAAATCTAGATATATATACATACTGATTATCAGGTTGATTCTTTTGGCTAATGCACTCATCTATATTTCCTTGTTTGTCCGTGTGTTTCCTGATTTCCTCTAGCTTTAAAATTCTACCTGTATGATCTCAGATATTTTCCCAATCAAGCCTTCAGATCGTATCACATCCTTAGCCACCCCTTTGATTGCAGTGAGAGACACTGAGCTGGATGCACCCAGATTTCTGACCCACAAAACTGAAATGATAAATGTTATTGCTTAAAAAAAATTCAGTGAATGGAATTTAAATTTCCTTGGGGACAATCTGGTGTAATAGAAGCTGACCGGGAGTCTGGCGACCTGATCCTAGCTCAGGGTCTAGTTTGCGCAGACCTCTGTCTTAGAACCTCCTTCCCTACCTGATATGTGAGGGTTGGGCAGAGGAACGTCAGCTTCCCTTAAATATTACAATTCAATGTCTATTAATCATACTGTTTATTCATCAAAATAAATACTGATCTGATAAGAGTCGTGAGTAGAACACACCCTCGCTGCTGAGAACTCTGGATTTGAGGGCAGCATTGCAGCTTCCTTTCTGCCTGTAACAGTGCAGAAGAAAGTCCGGCTCTACCACTTCTCCCAGCCCAACTGTTCTCAATCATAAACTCATCAGCGTCAAATCATCTGTACGGCTCGTGTGTGTGTTTGTGTGTCTGGGTGCGTGTGCTTAGCAAGCAGGGCTGTTCTGGCTCCGGGTACACGCACGGCTCGGACGGACATCAACCGGTTTGCTTCTGGATTAACTCGGACAGGACACAATGGGAAAGGAACTTCTTTCTAAGAAGAAAGAAGCGCGCCCTTCCCTCTTCTCCAGGGAGGTGTGTCCAGATCCCTTTGCCAGGCAGCTACTTTATAGCAGCTCCGGGGAGCCCGCCGCGGACTTCCCCCAGTGAGTAGCTGAATTTGCGTTAGCAAGTCAATCCGGCTCAATAAAACGATGTGTGAACATCTTCCCAGCCTCCTGTTAATATCCCTTCCGTGTTTGCGGCGAGCGACTGCATAGACACACAGAAAAGAGAAGGAAAGAGTGAAGAGAGTAAGGAGAAGTAAAGCAGCGCCCCGGAAGCTTGGCTCTGGGGCTCCGAACCGGGTCGGGGTGCCCGGAACCGCCGAGGCAGGGCGGGGCTGCCACAGGGTCGCCCGCGTCCCCAGCTGTTCACTTCTTTCGCCGAGGGTCTCCCGGGCTCAGCGCTCGCGGCGCTCCCGCCCCCCCCACCCCCCGCCCACTCCCCGGCTCTGCCGGGTCCCCGCTCCGCCCGGGCGCCGAGCCTGGCTGGCCGCCCATCTCCCACCCCCAGGCGGCCCCCGCCACTGTCTCCTAGCTCCCCGCACCGGGAGCTCCCGTCCCGCCCCACGGGGCGACTCTTTCTGCTCTCGGGTTAACGATCGTGGGTGGAGAAGCTCAGCCCTGAGACTGCACCGCGGCGGAGCGCAGAGCCCGGGGCAGCCCGAGGGCCGCGCCGCCGGGACAGCCGCACCTGAGCCCCCCGCTCCGGCCGGGGCGCCCCTCCGGATGCGCGGGCGGACCGCGCAGGCCTTAGGAGAGCTGCCCGAGCCCGCGGTAGGATGAGGGGTGGGTCGGGGGAGAAACCCGAGCCACCCAGGGGCTGACCAAGTCCCGCCTCACTCCAGCGAGGGCCAGGACCCGCGAGTCGCACTCTTTCGCCCGCAGCCCCACCTGGCCGATCCGAAGCACCCCAGCGCCAGCCCGCAGGCGGCCCCCGAGCGCTCATCCTAACTCTCCCCAACTTCTCAGAAAGGAGGGACGCGCCGCCCACCTGCCCGCCCCCTCGCCCACGGGAGCGGAACTTGAACTTCGCCGCGCCCAGGGTCCACCTTGCGCCACCCTGAGCGCGGGCGGGAAGCCCCGATGAACCCTCCGGAGAGGAGGTGAAGCGGGGGGCGACCGCGGCGCACGGCCCGGGGGCCAGCGGTGCCAGTGCAGAGCCCGCAGCAGCAGAGCCGGGGAAAGTGGGAGCATGACCGTGCGGCCTCAGGGGAACTCAGCGCAGTAATGTCGACATGTAAGTCCCTCCTTTCAGCTCAGAATTCCTTCCCATTCCACATCTTTATCTGTACCCCACTCAAGTCCTCTCCCTAGCCCCCCGGATGATTTGGTAAAGACTTCACGTGCGCAGACAGAGTAAACCGGTTTGCCTTCAGTCTGCCCTGGAGGCGTAGTGGATGCTGCCAGCGGACCTGTGACATGTGTGCGCGGCTTCCTTTTTTTTTTTTTTTTTTTTTCTTCCAGCAAGGTAAACCTCACATTTGGGCGGTGTAAAGCATAATAAAAAGGGCAGGGCTTCAAGAATGGGGAAAACGTGTTTTCGATTCAAATTAAACAGGGAATAACCGGCACCGCAGTCAGTCTAGGGGCCTTGCTCTGCCAAGAAAGCGCTCTCTGGATCAACACCTGCGAGGCTGGAAGGTACTGGTATGCGGAGGGAATGTTGACTTTACACATTGTCACCCCTGACTGTAGAAGTTATTCTTGGATCTTTGGGATATTTGATTTCTTTTTTTAAGTGCGCAGAAAAAATGTTCTGAGGGTACTTTAAAAAGTAATTGAGAGTTATGCCATGTAACGTGATAGGATCGCTAAGGCGACTTCTATAGCATTGTTAAGTGGGGAGTTGGGGGAACTGAAGTGGTTAGAGAAACCTCAGAGGTTTTGCTTCTATGGAATTGCCTTCTAAACAGTGAGGTGCCACAGAGGAACCCCGCGGAAGGTGGCCAAGCACCGCCTGGCCCTCCGGAATGGAAAAAGGAAGGTTGGACTCACAGGGACCAAGCTTATTTTTGTGGCCACCTGAGAGGTTACTTTTTCTTGTAACGTGTAATTTTCCTTCTGGTGTTTTATTTAATCTTGGGCAGACACTCTGACAGACATTTTACCACTTCTACCAACTAACGCACAAGAGTTGCTAGAGACGGATAATCACCTTTCCCCGACTCCTGGGTCCTTATCTGTCTTCACCTACATTTTCTTTCCGTTTAATAGCTGGAAAAAGACCTGCCTTTTAGTTAGATCCTGTGCTTCCCTTCCTAGCCCCATCCTTCTACCCCTTGCCTTCCTCCCCAACACACGTTTTTAAAGTAGGAGAAAGGGTAGTACCCCCAAGCCTAGCCCTCTGCGTTTCTGTTCCTTTTAGCCTGCGGTGTAATTCGAAATAAACTAATTTTTACTTAAACTGGATGGGAAATAATGAAAGAATTTCACACCTGTGAATTTTAAAGGTTCGCTTATGCCAGTGGAATCAGCGAGCTATAACTTGAAAGAATTTGTTTTGGAATACAGCCAACAGTTTCACATAAGACTTGTTCTCATATGCAGGCAACACATTTCAAATGAATATGAGTTTGTTTTTAACTTCAGTTACTACAGAAAATCTTGTAGGGTTTTTCAACAGTAGATGTAGTCCAGCTTCCTTTCAGCTTTCCTAAATATTACTGTCTGATGAGAAAAAAAGCATGTGATGCCGGTTTTAAATATAAAAGGTATGAAACTGATCAACAGGTTGTATCCTGATTATGAAATTGTTATATAGGCCACTTGAATTCCTCATGATTAAAAAATCATGTCATAGTGTAAAGCATGAGCGTTAAATCCTGTAGAAAAGAGTTTCATGCCTTGATTTGAGTTTTGAATTCATGTATTTTGACTAAAGGCCTTTTCATTTCTTGCCAGATTAAAACTATATATTTTTCCCCTATTCTGTTTATAGTTCATATGGAATGGTTTCAGATGTTCTGATACTTTTTAGATATTGGTATCTTAGGAGGTCTGGGAAAAAATGCCACCCTTCCCAAGATAAATATTCCTACTATCTTGTTTAAAAATGTGAGTTGGGAACATAAACTTTTATTTTTTAAATCTTAAGAAATCGAAATACACAAATCATTTGAGTGTATTTTCTGCCTACTTGTGGAGAAAGAATATTTAGATACTATTCCGATGTTATAGGCGTTATAAACATATTTATATTGGTGACTGCATATTTTTCATACCCTAAGAAACTTAATAGCATTAGTAAGACTTGCATGAGTTGGTCTCTTGCTGCATGAAGCTACTGTTCCATTTATGGCTTATATAAATTACATGACATTGTGCTTTTCCAGTGTCAATGGTGAATGAGGCTATTGTCTGCTGGCTTATGGGAAATATTAGAAGCCTGTCGTTTTACAGCCTAACTGGACACGTCACTCTGATTTCTGGAAATAATGATATAAAAAAGAATCAGTTTATATATTAAAAGTGAACTAAGAAACGCTTCCTTAAACCTGACCATTTTTCTTACTGCCCATATACCTTATGGAGTTTACATTTCTGATGGGATGATTAAAAGTTTCTATAGACTACCCCGAATTGAGACTACATAGAAAAAGGCTTTGTTCAATGTGTGTGGTATGTGTGGGCAAAGACTCTTTTAATTTTCATTTCTAGTTGGATGACATTATAGTGCATGCTGGTTGACTGGGGCAATACCATTCAGAGGATATATCAGTGGCAAGTAAAAATGCCAGTCCAACCTCAGTGGGGCTACCAGAGTATCGTCTTACTCTCTTTCATAAGCATTACTCAAAATGGAAGTTTTAGGAGTGCCTTGAAAAACTCCATGATCCTTTTATTTAAAACACAGCAAATGTTAACAAGGGCTTAATATATTTAATATAGAATTGGTTAAAGAAATTACAAATAAGTAGGAGAAAATATTTATTTTGTAGTAGGGAAACTCTGTAGATGACGTGGACATGTCAGTTCAATTAATGGAAATCCAAATGGAGATTGTACTTCTATCAGACTGGTAGTGATGAAAGCAGTGATACTCCATAATGATGAGAGAGTTAAGGAATAAAAACAGGGGCACACTTCAGTGTAAGTGTGTATTTACATTTTTTAGAAATAATTTAAAATCTGTCAGTTTGCAAGAATAAAAATAATATCGAAGAATGCTTGTCTGCCCTTACCCAGTTATTACCCACAGTGAATATTAACTCCCAGCTGTTTTATCATCTCCTTTACTCCCTCCCCACCACCCCCTGCTGCACACACATACACAAGTAATTTTTTTCTGAACCATCTGATAATAATTGTATACATTAGAACTTTAGGCTTTACTTTTTTTTAATTGAAATTTTAAAGATATTCCCTCAAATACAAGTGAAAAAAAATACAGAGAGATCTAGCACATTTACCCAGTTTCCCCTATGTAATTTTTTTTTTTTTGAAGTTTTTTGGCCGGGGCTGGATTTGAACCCACCACCTCCAGTATATGGGGCCAGTGCCCTATTCCTTGAGCCACAGGCACCGCCCCCTCCATGTAACGTTTTTGCAAAAGTGTAGTACACTATCAAAACCAGGATATCAATATAATCTACCTCTCTTTTTTAGATTTCCTGAGTTTCATTCATGATGTGTACATGGGTGTGTAATTCTCTAGATTGACTTTTACTCTGTCCTGAGGGATAAGCCAGTTGTGCATGTTGCTGTTCAAGTAAAGTTTAAGATTTGTGCAGATCTGAAGACTAAATTAGTCTTTTTGAAGTGAAGGTGAACCCAACTTAATGAAAGATCATAAATTGTGTAATAGAAGAAAACAGCACTTTCTTTTTTATCTATTGCTTTGTCTAAGGAACATGATCTTTATCCAGAAAAGGAACACTGTTACAAGCAGAATTGAATTAAACCTTAATTCTTTTTACTGTGAAAGAATTAGATATTCTTCTCTGCCACTCCCACACCTCTGTATGAAAAGATTTGCCATTGAAACAGAGTTAGTATATGGGGAAGGAAGTTAATTCTAACTTTGGGTGATATTGATAGAATTAGTGTCTCATCAATTTCTCTACCAATTTCAAAATGTCTTCACTAATTTTTCTAAATGGTGACTTTGGGGAAACCACTAGGAGTAGAGAGGTGGAAAATGGTAGGTTTTTAAGATTATTTCAGTGATGCAGGGTGATATTCAGGCTTAAAACAATTCCTATAAAAAGGTTAAGTTTGAAAGCTTCCTGAAATAAGATTCAAGCATATTGCATTTTGTAGTTTTACAGATTAGGAAGAGGAACAGGTTTCCAATGAGTCAGCTGGGTCCTCAGGAAGGACAGCTGTGCTGGAAGCCAGATGACATGAAGGATCTTCTGTCTCTGCCACCATTGATTATGTAACGTTGGCCAAGGAGTTTAGTAGTTTTTTCACCTGTGACAGGATAGGTGATGTTGCATGAATTTTAGATTCCTTCCAGATACAGAAGTCTATGACTCTCTTTTACTTAAAAACATTTCTATTCTTGTCAAGAGAAATTTGAGGCCATAATCAAAATGGTACAAGACTTTTTTTTTTTTTTTTTTTTTTGGTGGTTCCTAAACCTTAGTAACCCTGTTTGGGATTTTCCATTCTTGTGAGAAAGTTATTTAAATCTCAGGGATGTGTCTTTGCTAAGTGATCCCCTGAGAAGACATACAGTACTTTCCTTCCTCTGTTCTATTCTTAATTTATTTGTTTCTATCCTTCAGTAAACAGTAAAGTGGATGAAAGGTGGCATGTCATATGGTTTATGTTTGGGTCTAAGTGCTTGCCTTGTTCTGGGTTTCTTTTCTGTCTGAAGTGATAGAGTCTTGAGACCTGGAATGGATCAGGCCATGGTTGTCTCTTGAAGCTACCTTTGGTAAAGTGATTTCAAGATTGAATATGGAGTCCGTAAATGTCGGAACAGAAGGAGAAGTCATCTAAGTGCATTAAACCAGTATTGAGTGTAGGCCAGTAGAAGAGCATGCATCTGTTGCATCTCTGAGTATTACATAGAGATGACAAGAATTCAAGAGAAGACCACTGTTCACGTATTGATAAGGGAGATTTGTCATATGCCTCAAAGAGTAAGAACCTGGGAGTTCTCTGGAGTGGACCCTGCCTCCTGTTAACATCTCTAAAGCTGACAGCCAGGTTCAATGTCTGCCCCTTTCTTTTGGCGAACCTCAGTTTCCTCTCTTGTGAAGTGAGGAGGTTCAATTAGACTTCATCTTTGGTCTTTCCAGCTCTAAACTTCCTTGGATATAGAATTGTGTTTTTGTTTTAGAAGCATACTCATGCATCCAGCATCAGTCGGAAATAGGCCCATTCTTCCAGATAGACGAACTTTCTGTGACAGAAGTTTATCACCTACCATTATGAAGGCCCCTACTAAGGGCCATGCACTGTGATCTCCAGTTCTTTTGGTGGGTAAGAGCCTATTTACAGAAGAGGAAGTAGGCTCAGTGTTTAAAAACTTGCCCCACAAACCACACAGTTAGTAGAGGAACAGGATGTAAGTGTCAATATCATTCTGGACTTCATGTCCATTAATTATTACTAACTAAAACATACTTCTCATTAGCAGCAAGTTCTTTAAAACATACCCTCTATCCAACAAATACTGTTCACGTCTTCACCTTTTCCTAGTTTAGAATTTCCATCAGAAGAACTGCATGATACTGGAACTTCTAATTTGGTCCATATAAAAATGTGGCAAGATTTTCCAACACTACTTAAAATTTCTGTATTTATAAAAAACATAAATAACCAATTTCATTTCTATTTCCAGCTGATTCTGGAAGTAGCCATAAAGTCAATTGATTAGTGTTGATGTATGAGATTAAGCCTATTATCCATTCTTGTTTGAGTCTTTTCCTTTGATTTTACTGTGGACGAGAATGCTCACACTTGTACGAGAATGCCCAGGATGATAGGAACACTAATAATAGCTAGTATTTATTGAGTACTTGCTGAGTGTCAGGCTTAAAAGACGTCATCCTTCTTAATTCAGAAACTGTATGGACTAGATACATTGCTGCTCCTTATTTTTTAGATGAGAAATAGGCACAAGATGATCAGGTACATTTTGCATAGTAATCTATAAGTTGCAAATCAGGTCTGTCTGACGCTGATGCTGGTTCCCTTTCCTACAACGTGGTCTCTTACAGTAAAAGAAAGATTCAAAATTCAGGCTGGAGGCCAGTTCAGGCATTATTTAATGTCTAATTTTGCTCATTCAAGTATTTCTCTGCCCTCTATTCTGGTTTTCTGTTTAATATTGTACATTTTAGCCAGGCAAGCAAACTTTAGGCTTTCAAGAACATATTACTGGGACCCTAAACTATCTTATTAGTTGCCCCTCTTTTTAGGAATGATTCTCGATTATCACATATAGGCTAAGTAACTCTTTCTATGGAAATGTTAGGGCTCAAGTGGCTAAGGCGCCAGCCACATACACCTGAACTGGTGGGTTCGAATCCAGCCCGGGCCGCCAAACAATAATGACAGCTGCAACCAAAAAATAGTTGGGCATTGTGGCGGGTGCCTGTAGTCCCAGCTACTTGGGAGGTGGAGGCAGGAGAATCGCTTGAGCCTAGGAGTTGGAGGTTGCTATGAGCTGTGATGTCATAGCACTCTACCCAGGGTAGAGGCTCTGTCTCAAAAAAAAAAAAAAAAAAGATTTCCTGAAGATTTCTTTTGGCTATTCACCCATCTTCTTGCCTCATGACTGTCCTGGTCACCAGTCTATTCATGGCTCCTCTAGTTATTGATTTTTATAATTGCGTCCTCCTGTGCTGGCTTTCCTCTGTGGCTGGTGCTGACTCAATGCAATGTATCATATCATTGTTTTGAGTCAGTATCAGGGGTCCTTCAAACTTTTTAAACAGGGGACCAGTTCACTGTCCCTCAGACCGTTGGAGGGCTGGACTGCAGGCCCCAGGATGAGTCGGCTGCTAAGCAGGATAGGCAGCAGTGGCAAGGCCCCATTAACCTGGCAGGCCCGATAAAGGTCCTAAACGGGCCACATGTGGCCTGTGGGCTGTAGTTTGAGGATGCGTGAATAGATGTTCCTTTCTAAATTGTTATTAAATGCAAGTTTCAGGTTAAAGATGAGACAATTGTGCAGAAAGGATTGTTAGAGAGTTTTCAAAGCACCACCCCTCCATCTAAAGTCATTTACTAGTTTCTATAATACTCGGTGTTTACTGGCCATTTAAAAATATTGATAGCCATTTTGATATATAAGGAATTTGACCTAATGCTTCATTGCTTCATTTAAGGGAAAGAGGAGTTTGGACAGTTTGATTTTATTTTAACTGCAGTGGAATCTCTGTAAGTTGACTACCCAACGGACTGTAACAAAGTGGTCAACATAAGGAACTAGGATGGCTGTACTGAGACGTACATGTGGTACACGTCTGGCCTATGAAAATTAGGTCAACTTAAGGAGGTGGCCAATGTAGGGATGTCATCAACTATGGAAGTTCTATTGTATATTTCCATTTGTAAAGCAGTAGACATTAAAAGAAAAAATTTCCTTCAAGTCTAAATTCCTAGGAGATTATAGGGAAGTTAGCTACAAACATCCTCCTGCTATGCAGGTGGACATGGGACTGGTGAGGCTTAAGCTGAAATTGCTTCATTTTTTAATACATGACATTTTCAAATGGTCTCAATATTTAGCCATCTTTGTGCAGAAATCATTTGTTACACCCGTTCTGATAAGGAAGTTGCCAACAAGTGGCAAATAAAATGCATGGATTTTTTTTTTTTCTTTGTAAAATGCTTGAAGAAGGTGATGGGATCATCACCTTTTAAGTTCCTTCTTTATTTGGAAGCAAGGCTGAAAAAGGTTTCTGTTTTCCAGTCCATGCTAGAAACCAACACTTTTTATTGTTTTTCATAATTTGCTGAAGGTTGTTGAGTGTCCTTATTGCTATTTTTCTTTCACTGCAGGATGTTTCATTCAGGTGGAATGTGGACCTGCCGTTGGAAATGGAAGCCAGGTCTTCTCTTCTTACTTACCTTACATGCTATGTGTGTGCCTCACTCAGGTAAGACATTCACTTTCAAACCCCGGATTTAATAATGATTACATCATCTGTGGCATAAGTGTGCTATTTACTTAAGTAAGCTGACTTTCATTTGTTACCTTTTTTTTTTTTTTTTTTTTGGTCTGTTTCCATCCAAGGGTTTTTTTCCCTTTCTGTGATTGCTCTGTTCTTTCTGAATTCTGTGTGAATACCATTACTTTGATCATTGGTTTACTTTCTAATGAGTTTATTTCTTTCATCTTTGCTGTCTTTCTTTTATTTATTTCTTTAGCCCATATTGAGTGGTGAGATAACTACATAAATGGCTTATAAAAAGCTCTAGCTGTTTCCTACACTATTGAATAAATATACAGCACTTAGTTCCCCTTTCAAGTTTCCTATAGTTATTTATGGGAAGTATAGATTTTGCTCTTTTCATTCATCCTGATTTTATTGGCTTGTTGCAGTAGGAACTAGGAATTGGAAATTAAGCTTTTAGACTTTTTTTTTTACTTGGTTTTTAAAAGTTAATTATAATCATGGTGTTTTTGGAGTTAAAATACCCAGTTTTTATAATTACTTTTTTTCCTTGAACTTTTAACTAAGACTCTTTTGATTGTCTGAAACTAAATTTTCTATAAACAGGTAATTATGTAAACCAGCCAGTTGGAGGCTGGGGAATATGAATTATGTTTAAAAGCAAACTGTTTCTTCATTATCCAGTTTTATTACTGAGCAAACTCTTTTAAGTACATTCTGTCTTATTCTTTGTTTTCTCCTGGCCTATTTACTCAGTTTATTTTCTGTTAGAGTCAAACTTAAGTGTCAAGAAAATCATTGTCCTTGAAGTCTTATGTATTTATTATTTAGAATTTAATCAAGATTTAGAAATTTCAGATTTATAATCTGTGTTATTATGAATAATATATTTAAAGAACCATGGAAATAGGTTATCTTCTTTAACTGCTTATTCATGGATCAAGAAATTCAATCTGAATTTAATGTATAAACACATTTTTCCAAGCCATCAAGTATTTTAAGAGTTTCTGCTACTTACTTGGAAAAATCCCTGGCACTCCTTTAATGACTTCAAAACAGAACTGGTCTTTGAACAAGTTTTTGTGTGATTTGTTAGACTTTCATTATAAAGTCATTTATTCTATAACTAAATTATTGCCAGGAAGCGGAAAGAAACTTATAAAGAGATTGGAAAATTCAACGTACATTGGATTTTATGATATACTGTTGAACTATTTCTTAACTTTAAAAAGTGATTTTCCCAGAATCAATTTTGTGATCGGAGATAAATTAGGAGATTAAAATTAGTTGAGGTCTATTTACTTTCATTTTTGTTAGGTCAAGCATTGTTTTTTTTTTTTTGCAGTTTTTGGCTGGGGCTGGGTTTGAACCCACCACCTCTGGCACATGGGGCTGGTGCCCTGTTCCTTTGAGCCACAGGTGCCACCCTACATTGTGTATTTCTAAGTCTTCTTCAAAGCACCTCAAATTTGAATGTCAACATTTTAATTAGGATGTGTGCATTCCTGAATTTTTTTTTTTTTTTTTTTTTTTGAGACAGAGCCTCAAGCTGTCCCCCTGGGTAGACTACCATGGCATCACAGCTCATAGCAACCTCCAACTCCTGGGCTCAAGCGAGTCTCCTGCCTCTGCCTCCCAAGTAGCTGGGACTACAGGCGCCCGCCACAACGCCCGGCTATTTTATTTTGGTTGCAGCCATCATTGTTGTTTGGTGGGCCCAGGCTAGATTCGAATTTGCCACCTTGGGTGTATGTGGCTGGCGCCTTAGCCAATTGAGCCACAGTCCTGAATTTTAATCACCTGCATAAATGAACTGAAACACATATATCTAGGCTAATTAAAAGGAATCAACTGGGCTGGGATCATACTGAGGAAAGAGAATCACCTTGGTGCAAAATTTAAGGAGGCGTTCATTCTCAAGGTCATGGGAATCAAAGTACTTAAATTTTTAAAGTTACTCTCAACACAAGATTTTCTTTTATTTTTCTTTCATCACCCAACTCTTTGTGTACATCAAATCACATTTTGTGACAGGTAGCTTTCCGTGTTCACTTATCCGGCCTGAATATTTTCTAAATCATGACTAACATAAAATACCAACACTCAACATGTGAATATCTGAATTCACTGAAACATTTTAGGGATTATAATCAGCATTTTAACATAAAATAACTCAGCATGTGGTTCCTTAGAATGAACTCACTGCTAATTAAAATAATGCATATTATAACTTTTCATATATCTAATATTTAAAATCTTGTTTTATGCATAAATCAAAGCATAATAAGGTAGTATTTTTGAAGATATTTTGGGCTTAATTTGATGTTTACACCTCTATTTACACATTCATTGACTTTTTTACTTCTCTGAATGACACCTAGATGATTTCAAGTCCAAGTCCAGTGGCTTTAAACAGCATCTTGATGCCAATGTCTCCTAGATCAGGGTCAAGCCTGGCCCCTTCCTGGACCCTAGAGTCACCTCTTGGGTTGCCGATCCTCATCTCCCTTTGGATATATGCGTGTAGTCAGCCTTCAATTTCACTTATGCAAACAGAACCCCTGGTTTCTACCTTCTATTCCAAAATCTACTTCTCCCTTAATCCTTTCAACCTATCTTTCTAAAGGACTACTGTTTTCTCCCGTCAGTATTTTCTAGATACACATGGCCTTTCTGTTCCTTGACCATGCCTTTCTGGTTTCCTGTTTTTCCCAGTCTCTTCCTACTCATCCTTTTCATCACTCAGATCTCAGTTTAATTATTCCTTCCTCATTCCCCAAATTCAAAGTGAGGCCCACTGTCACTCTTTCATGTCATGCTTATGATAATCTGTATAGATTTTGGTTGATCATTTAATATTAATGTTTTGCAAATTTGACTATTATTGGTAGTTTGAGGGTGGCAAAACTCTTTTGATTGTTAAGACTTACTCTTAATTAAAATGATTAAAAAGTAGAATCCTATTGTTCAATTTGGGTAATATTCATAGTTTAACCCATATAATAGAATTGTAATATTAAATTTTCTAGTTGATAAATTAACATCTGTACTTTCTTGGGACAATCATAGAACAAATAATATAAGGTTGTGCCCTTCCAGATTTTAAAGAGTAATGTAGAAAAACAACTCACTGGCTCTTAACAAGTGAGTTATATACAACAAGTGAATATAACTTTTAATAAGAAGTACAACAAAGGCTCAGTGCCCGTGCTCAGTAGTTAGGGCGCTGGCCACATGCACCAGGGCTGGTGGGTTTGAACCTGGCTCAGGCCTGCTAAACAACAATGACAACAATAACAGAAAAATAGCTGGCTTTTTGGTGGGTGCCTGTAGTCCTAGCTATTTGGGAGGCTGAGGCAAGAGAATCACTTAAGCCCAAGAGTTTGAGGTTGCTGTGAGCTGTGACATCACAGCCCTCTAGGGCGACATAGTGAGACTCTGTCTCAAAACAAAACAATAACAATTGAGTATTTAAGGGGTGCTATAAAAGTGCACATCAAAACAACAAAACGTGATTGTATTTATTCACTAGCTTGACAACATCTAGAGAATTTGGTGGGCATCCAGTATAATCAAACTTGTTAAGAACAGTAACAATGTTGGCTTTATCTTTTGGGAAAGTAATTGGGTAAAATGTTTTAAAAATTAAGAATGTGTACATTCTTTGGGATGTCACTCCCATGTGTAGGCATTTATATAAATAAAAACACATAATAAAAATGTCTCAGTATATGAACTGCAGCATTGAAATAGCAAACAATTGGAAAAGACTAATTGTTGAAGAACAGGGGAATATATAAATTATTTCATATTCATACCAAGAAATACCATGTAATCTTTCAAAATTCTGTGGTTCGACTATGCACACTGGCTTGCTAAGCTGTCTATGGTAGTAATGTTAAATTAAAAAGCAAGTCATGGAGCAATATCAAATTATCTTAGATCTGTAGTAATAGATAGTATTATACAACTGGCATGAATTATGTATATATGATTGTGTAAGACTCTATAAACATATTAATAAAATACATGATGAATGATATACACCAGAATTCTAAAGTGGGTTATCTCAGAGGTATAGTTTGCAGAAAGAGGGGGGGAAGATGATGGAACGTTACACACCTCTGAATTTTTGGTCTTATTATAGTGACCAAAATTATCACATGACCACTTAGCATGTGTTACTTTAATAATCTGCAAAAAAAAAAAAAAAAAAAAACCCTGATGAACTCTACAAGTTTGTGTTTTTGTTTTTTAGAAAAAGCAATGTTTAAAAAGTGACCAAAAGGGGTGGCGCCTATAGCTCAAAGGAGTAAGATGCCGGCCCCATATGCCAGAAGTGGTGGGTTCAAACCCAGGCCTGGCCAAAAACTAAAAAAAA